TGCCAGACCCAGCAGCGCTCTTGGTGACCGCACCAGGGCCTGGCTGGCAAAAGCTTCCCTCTGTGAGGGGCTCTGGAGGTCCCACAGCCACAACAGCTGCGTTTGCTCAGGCAGAAGATCCCCTTGATGTGGTTTGGGCAAAAGGAGTCAGTAACATCAAAGCCACTGATCAGCAGCCAGTGCTGCTGCAGCCTCGCTTCAGTTCATCGAGGCTGCCACCCATTCAGGCACATCCAGATCTTCTCACAGTACCACGTGTACAGCATTGGCTGCAGACTTCAACAATCTGTGAAACCAATCATGGAAGAAGGGACGAGGAAAGGGAAAAGGGAATAAAATGGGATTCTTTTGGCATCTCTTGGCTTCTAAGGGATTGGAGGCTGACAGGCATGCACACATCTTGGAGGTTGCAAAGGAGGGGGTGGGGATGTTGTAGCAATGGAATCAAAGCAGGCCAGAACACAGAATGCTAGATGGCTGCATCTGTGGAAGCATCTTCATGGTGTCATTTCCCTAGCAACATTAATTCCTAACTGGCATTTTCTCTGGGCCGATCCTCCCAAGCTGCTCGCTGGATTTTCAGAGCAGGAGGTTAGGAAGCAAGTACGAATGTTTTCCAAGTGCTCCCTCGTGTGGAGCTGGGCAACGCGACACAGCGAGCACCCCAGCAAAGGGGAAGGCCGGTTGGAGTCCTGGAGGTAACCAGAAGCCTCACTCCTTTACCTAAGTCCAACTGAACCCCACCTACCTATGGGGTGACATGCAGGGGCGTCAGGATGGAGAATTAAATAATCCTATGGGGGGTTGTTTTTCACTACTTGCTTCTTGGATCACCAACAGGTACTCAGTGCAACAGGCAGCCCCTTCCCCAGAGCAGGCTGGGTTCTGGCAGAGGGCACTGGCACTGATCAGAGGCTCAGACTTCTTCCACACTGCTCCTTTCCAAGACTAGTTTAGCACCAACACGCTCACATTCTTACGAACCAAGCACACGCATTCGGGCATTCAGCCTGCTAATCCTCACCAGGCTGGTACAGGAGAGGGCAACCTGTTCTGCCCTGCGTGTCCTCCTGTTCCACGTGCCGCTGGCAGGAGACTCAGG